TTTTAAAAAAAAGTCTAAATGACAAATACACAGTGTGTATCCAGTGTGTGTATAAGAAATCTCACATTTTAAAATAAAACTATTTACTAATTTCACAAATATAATAAACTTACCAGTTGTGATAATGTTGACACTGCTGCTTTTCTGACCCCCGTTAACCTCACACCAGTACTCTGCACTGTCTGTTACATAAGTTTGAGAAATTGTGCATGAAGACAAAGTTCTTTTACTGTTACGTACTGGACTAATATGTTCTAACTTTTCCTCAGTGGTTCTGACTCCTCTCAGTTCAGTAGAACCACCAGGGCTCTCACAATCAAAAGATAAAGACTTAGATACTGAAAGTGTTGGAGTCTGTTAGGAGACACATGAAGAATAGCTGCACCTGAAAATTAGAAACAGCACAAGATGTTAACAGATTAACCAGAATCCTTGTAAAATGTTTTTTTAACCTCTCTAACTTACTCTCCCCCTTTTCAGGTAAAGCTATTTTGAACATGAGTCACCAGCAGAATTATTTTAAGCATTACTAGATTAGCAGAGGAAAGCCATAAATTATTTTATTATGAACTGCAGCGTTTGGCAGGATTCATATCGCTCTGAACATGGCTTAAACATGATGGCTGCTTTTACTGTATGTTAATGTGACAGACTACAAATCTCTTTTCCACTCTGGGATTTAGGATAAGTGATGATGCTCTGTGCTGAGTCTGCACGATAACGAAAGGGCTGGTAGAATAAAAAAAAAAACTTTAATGTAAAAGGAGCTCTCTTACCAGTTTGCTTCTTGTGTGTTTCGTGACAGTGTGATTTTCCACTTTCTTTATTGAATAATGCTACTTTACTTTACGTGTTTGTTGATTTGGTGGACTTCTACTATGTGCTTAAGACACTGAAACAATGTTGTGCATGTTTCTTCTTCTTCCTCCCAAATTGTTAAACAACTTATTTTGAAAAATCTGGTCAAGATGATTAAGCCTTTACCTCAGATTTAATAACTCAAGGCTCCACCCTTAAATTGGTGTATTATCGTATTTTCCGCACTATAAGGCGCACTATTAAAATCTATTAAATCCTTTAATTTTCTCAAAAATCGACAGTGCGCCTTATAATCCGGTGCGCCTTGTATATGAATTCTGGTTGTGCTTACTGACCTCGAACTGATTTTATGTGGTACATGGCGCTCAAAAATCTGTCAAAAAATGTTTTAGTAGGACTTTGGTAAGCTACAAAGCAGAGGCGGAGCCAGATAAAAACTGGTCAAATTCTTTCATCTTAATAAAATCATCAGCGTTGCTGCTTTTCCAGGTGTAACAATTCAGTTTAACATCCAGGCATCCATGAAAACAGAATTTATTAAATTTAAGAGAGTTAGAAGTTAGCAGGAAGTTAGCTGCTAGTTTCCACCTAAACAAATATAGCATGTTCTGACTGAGAATTTCTGAAAAATTAAAACGTACAGCTCTGCTATCACTTACAACATAAATGAAGACAGAAAACTAAACGCAGTGACTTTTGTACGATTACTGAAGTTGGACTAGCTGGTATATAATGATGTGCTATGTGATCGCAGTGACACAGCTATGTTAGCATAACATAAAGCATAACACAGTGAAGCTGGAGGATGAACACTAACTTTTTTCCACTCCATAAAAGTTAACAGGAACCCTTCCCGATGGTCAGGGACAAATGGATCGCAGGGAGGATGCTGTAAACGGACCAAACTTCAGTCAGGAGAACAACTGAGATAATCCATCCACAATACGAGGTTAGTCATTAATATACTGCAACAACATGGGAATAGAGCACCTGCAAGAGAATTCAACATTAATGAATCAATGGTACAGAAATGGAGGAAGCAAGAAGAATGAGTTGAGTAAAGTTTGACTTATCTGACTCTTTTGTTTTGCTTAATCCACTTTATAATCCGGTGCGCCTTATGGTCCGGAAATACAGTATATTAAAATATGTGATTCAGAATTACTCTTAGACACTGCAATAGGTCATCCAACTATTTAAGTTGCTGTTGAAGGTAACATAGTATGTACCCAACTGAAATGAGGTTTACAAATGTGAAAAGAGTTGATTACAAGTAGCATATTCCTTGAATATCATTGCAGGGCACTGTATGCAAGACAGGTCCAAAACAAACATAAAAATACACTACAATAATAATGGATTGGATTTATATAGCGCTTTTCAAGGCACCCAAAGCGCTTTACAATCCACTATTCATTCACTCTCACATTCACACACTGGTGGAGGCAGCTACAGTTGTAGCCACAGCTGCCCTGGGGCAGACTGACAGAAGCGAGGCTGCCATATCGCGCCATCGGCCCCTCTGGCCAA